GGAGGGAAAACGTGTTACAGTTGCACTATGCTCATAGAATAGTAATAGCTATACCACTCGCCCGTTCATCCATTCCGGCCTTTCATTTCACAACGTGATTGCAAGACCGAAATGAACAAAAATGCGAAAGCCAATGCTCTTTGTAAAAAGAGAAAAATATAAAATACAAAATTATTCCGTTTAATAGCAACAATATTATTTCATGAGAAACGACCATATTTACGGAACAGAAAACTTTATTGATAAATAAAGCTGGTTTATTTCATGCCTTTTCTATGGTAAACCACAGATAAGGTATAAAACAGATGTAACGTCCAATGTATTTTTATGTCACGCGCTCGGAAAAAGCAACACTACAGCTTCCTTATCATTTTCGTGTCACATCCTACTATACCGATTCAGCCGCAACACTATCAACGGTGTTCACAACGAGACATATGAATAGACATTGCATCACCAAGTATTTTTTCGGCCATGGTAATAAGTCCTGGGACCTTACCATCTTCGTGTCACACCCTGTCTTACCGACTTTGCGACCGCAGCACCACTAGTGGCGAAAATTAAAATTAAAAAAATACGAACAATGTTACCCGATCTGTTTCGAGAATTATTTATTGAATTGAATGGTACTTCTTCAATAAAGGAATAATAAACAGCGAATTTAAAACAGCGACTAATGGAAATTGGGATGAAAAATTTAGTACATATTTGACTCTTAACACCTATTTAAAAGTATTAGAAAAGATTGATTGAAATACAATATTTTTATCAACAACATAGTTAACTATGACGTCTTTATACTTACAAATGTGTAAATTCACAACCTGAATGAATTAACTTTATCCCGTAAACTGGATTTAATGCAGATTTTAACTTATCAATAAAATATTTCTGTAAATATTGTTTGCAATAAAGAAGCACATTACGTGTTGTAAATTATTTTTTGCAAAATTCATCCGTTTTGAAATTTCGAAGTCAAATTTATTTTTTTAAACGATGCCATATATATTTTCTTTTCTATAATACGATGTTATTTATTAAGATGAACACATTGAGTTGCATTTTCGACGGCCGAAATCATTTATTGTCACGAAATCTCGTAAGATGCTTGGTCTATTCATATCTCGTCGATAATTTCATGTGAGCGCACGATTACAGCGCCCCGACGGTAAAGTGCACAACACACTTCCTACGATTCTCAAACGATAATCGATATTTCTCACGATCGATTTTTAAGACGAGAAGAATGGCGGAAGGAAACACACCTCGTCTGTAAAGAAGAAAGTATTATCCAGAAAAATCATCCAGAAAGAAATATCATCCAGAAGTTCTCAGGTAAAAATTTAAATCAATAGCTGTTAGATTTGCGTTTGTGTTGTGAATTTTTAAGAAAAAGCTTGCACTTTTAGCTTCAACTTCACGATCTACCAGATTACCAAAAACAGTGCATAATTTTTAGTTCCCTAAAGTAAAATTTAACCAAATAGTTATTACAAATAATTTTCAACGATTAAAAAAAATAATGATATATAAACAATTTAAACTGAATACACCGTGCTAAGAGTTATAATTTTAAACCAAAATTTATAATTTAATTTCAATTCTAACAGTACAAATATACAAATATTGTGATATGCTTTTACTTCTATTGTAACATTTTCTACTAATTTTTTGATTTTTTAACTTCATATACTACGTAATTCTTAACAATACTAAATTCAACAATAATTAAGAATGTATTTAATAGTTAAAATAATAATTTTACATCGAGTGTGTGATTATTTTCGTTCTTTTCTAAGAATTTATCATGAATTTTATGTATTTGATTTAGACCAGAGTTTTTTATTTTTTATTCCCAATTAACATTTAGTGAGAAATGCGCGATTACAGCGCCAACGTGGGAAATACGCAATACACATCCTACGATTCTCGATAATCGATATTCGATCTCACGATCGATTTTTAAACGGGAAGAATGGCGGAAGGGAGCACACCTCGTCTGTAAAGATGAAAGTATTATCCAGAAAAATCATCCAGAAAAAAAGTGTCATCCAGAAGTTCTCAGATAAAAATTTAAACCAATGGTTGTTAGATTTGTGTTTGTATTTCATATTTTTGAAATAAAACCTGCATTTTCTGGCTTCAGCTCAAGGTAAAATTCAACTAAATAATTTTCAATAATTAAAGAAATAATAGGATATAAACATTATGTGCTGA